ATATTATAAGAGCCTGATTTATCAAGTGCAACAACAATTTTTTTTTAGATTCTGTCCATTTTCCACCAGTCCCCCCCCATGTCAAACCTTACAGGGTTAAAGAGTCTAGAGTAAATTCATATTAATTTACATTGGCTACATTACATTATAGCAGTGGTAGGTATTTGATGGGCACTATAATAAGCATTGCATTGCAGTGCATATTTATAAGGGCTGTTTGAGTGAAGATCTTAGTCAAACCACACCATTTTTTCCTGGCGGCGCAGTTGTTGTCTGCTGCAGACCTGTTGGGCAGGAGGGCCGGTCCCATGCGGTTCAGACTGGTTTTTAAAGACAAACGCCAGTTTGTCAGGAGAGCGCAGCTGCCATATTAAGCCGGGCTGCGGCTGGCAAAAGTTTGTTGACTATGTTTAGCTGAGCTACTTTGCCCAGGCTCGGCCCAGAGCCTGAAACAGATGGGCATTCAGTCCTGAAGCACAAAAGCTGAAATCAGCTCCCACTCACATTACATGAGCAAGTAAACACTGCTGATACTCAAAAACAATGATGGATTACAGCTTGAAGCACAGCTTGTTAGCACAGTAGAATTGGGTTGACTACTAAGTTTAATATTACCTCAGTAGGCCTATAATACTCTACACTGGAAAGAAAAAAAATAATCACTCAAAAATTGCTAGTAAATTTCATACTTACAAAAACATCTGCAAGTAACTGGATGCCCGTTTCTGTCACGGAAATAAAACATATGAGGTGACTTTAAATTTTACAATTCTGACAAGCTATTCCGAGGTCATTTCTGAGGTCGGCTCATTTATTTTTACCTCGATATTCTGAGGTAAAATTGGATACTTTTTAATTTCACAATTCTAACTTTGTATCGCTAGAATTGCGAGACACAAAATCGCAATTCTGAGGGAAAAAAGTGTGAATTGTGAAAAAATAAATAAAAATCGCATGCGGCTTCCATAAAATTCCATTAAATTAAACGTCTAATTTTTAAAGTAGAAACACAGAAATAGTATTTTCTTTGTAAAATGTACTTCAATAATCTTTTATTTACAAATTCGAAAAGCATTTTTATACATTGTCTGCAATTAGGCAGTAGGCTAAGCACAATGAATGTAGATATTTTGTTAAAAAAAAAAAAACTTGAATTTTGACCGCTCATACTGACAGAATAAACTGGTACTGTCTGAGAGAAACACGATGTGCATAGCGTGGATATTACGTAATATTCAATTATGTAATACAAGTTTAAAAATGGCATGGATGAGTCAGTAATTGTAGGCCTACAGAATGCTTTGAAATACGATTGACAAAATCCAATTCATTTTTCATCTGCTGTATACTAAGCTCATTTAGTAAACACGCCCAAAACAGCCAGATAACACAGTATTCGTGTAATTGTGTGATAACACAAATATTTAGTATGTGTTATGGTGAGGTATCAAGTCTACCTACTCACTCGGTCTGTAGCACGTAGTTCACGACTCTGAGACTTTGGCCCACTCACAGACATGTAGACAGAAAAAGACCAAGCAGTCATCTGCTTAATATCAACGGCTAAATAATTACCCACAAAATACTGTTCATAATTATGCAGGACCGTACGGAGGAAAATCCTGCACGGATGAGGTGCTTGCAAACTTTCAGTCTGACCTCATTTCAATGTTGTGAATCATTTAGTAAAGGACAGATGAATCATTAAACAACTCCAGAAAGTATATGAAAAAGTTATTGTTTTACAATCCAGTAGAGTTTATAAATAATTTAAGTGCATGGTAATGAGATATTTCTCCTTAATAAATATGTTAACTGAGCAAAACCATTTTGGCATGCACACATTGCTAATTGAGGAGTATAGCTCTTTTGTGTACACTTTGAGCGCATTTACCCTTACTGAGACCGCCAGAAAGTATCGTGTTTGAACTCACCTGAACCTGTAACTTAAGTTTAACACAAAACACCACAAACTGTAACTGTTTCCAGTATCCCAAGCCTTCTTAAGTCGTAGGGTAGATTTCTGTGATGAATGGAACGAAATAAATCGCTATTCACTGATAGTCCTTGACTTCTGAGAGTAACGATGTCCAATTCATGAATGAATCGTTCTTTCGAGTCAAATATTCTCAGTGAAGCATTTGATTCAGTTCACAAAACGTTACAGCTGAATCGAATTTGTTTTTTTAATTGATAGTTATTGAACTGAACTGAATCAACACTGTTTGCATCATTTATTCTGTTATTAATCTGTTTATTTCTATGAAGCTTTTTTTAAACAATCGGTACTGCATAAAGCGCTAGCTATATAAATAAAGGTGACTTGACTCGATGAAAATATGTGGTCAGACTGATTCGATCACAAATCGAATTTGATTCAGTTCTCACGTTAAACTCAGTGAATCAACGATTCGTTCAGACGATTAACAGCCTGTGAGGGGAAATATTTACCAAAAAGAAAAAGAAAAACCTTCCAAATGACTTCCTAACAATTAGTGCACAAATTGATGTGGATCACTTCTATAATAGTTTTATGGAACTTTTGAGTGAAACATGACAATTCTGAGTGAACGGTCCCCTTAACTACTGATAGGCTTAAAAGTAGTTTTATTAAAAATTGCTTAAAAAAAAAATACACTGCAGATTCAGCCAAGATAAATGAAGTAGGATTTATTGGTTTGGTTTTTTAACATCCCAACTAAAGCACATCACCAGAACACATAATACTCAAATTTCGTAGTGAAATAACGCAGATTGACGTTATTGCAGACAAAACTTTCCTGAAGACATTCGAGGCAGTTAACAGCACTATCAGAACCGTGCATTACACACAACTACGCAATCACATGTTCATGACGCCCAAGTATTGTTTATTCCATCATTGCCAACATATCAGTGCATGTTTTTTTTTAGTTTTTTGTTTTTTTTTGCAAGAACTCAAAGTAAAAACCTGATATAAGAAAGAAGCAGCTACATTTGGAAATGCATATTAAGAAAGAGCCCCTTTAACAGTACTACAGTTCACTTGTTTATTTACGGGTTTGAAAATGATATAATATGACATGACCTCTAAACTATTAAAATGAACTCCTGCCATTTCAATGTTCAGGTATACACTGACATTTTCATTGAACTGGTGCTCTAGCAGATGTCATTCCTCACATTCTCATGATTGGTAACCGTCCAGGAGGTCTTGACTATGAATTATCCGACACTCCGCCAGCAATCCCGATGCCCTGGGAGCCCAAAACAGCGCTAAAGTTGTTCCCACAGATCCCTATTTTAACACGGCTATGATGTCATTCCGGCTGATTCTTTTTCAGGTGGCACTGCTCTAAGATTGCAAAGATATTTATTTACACATGCCAGAAAAGAAGCAAAGAGACCCGGGGCACTTAAACTGTAAAACAGCAAGTGAACAGAGTTCAACCAGGTAACCTTTAAATGCAAAACTAACGCATGGCCCTCAAATGTGACATTAATATAATTTCAATACCTAGAGGACGAGAGATAGTGCGCTGTGTTTTGAAACACAATATCAGCTGTGGATGCTTTAATATTTCTGCCAAAGCGGTGTTCTTACCCACTGTAACAGCCCTGCCGGGCTCATATCAGATTATACTGACTCAGTGGCCTCAAACCAGACAGGACTGGAAAGAAGCAGTTTATTCACTCTGCTCTAAAATAGCCCCCAAAAATATGAGCTATCCCACACCCAAGACAAAATAAAACAAAAATATCTTCCTATATAGCATGACGTAAGAGTCAAAATGACAAATGAGGCTCGTCGATCGTAAACTGGAGGGATTTTCTTTCTTAAGTGCTTATTGGGTGTAAAGTGTCATGTACCCTGTTAATCAAAGATCTAAAATTAACCAACACATGCATCTGTACTGCAACCAAATATCCATATTCATAATGAAAGACTGAAGGTTTGTCCTATAAGGCAAGAAAATTAAAGTAGTTAATAAAAAAAAAAAAGAATTGAAACCCAACAACTACCATATCAAAAACATATAGTCTAGAATATCCTGTAAACTTTTTCTTGGTCCTTCCATATAAACAATGGGACTCATTTATGAATCCCAAGCTGAATGAATTTGAGTAAATTGTTTGTAAAAATCAGGCTTGTGTAAATTGTGGCATTCAATTCAATATGGCTATTTAAACAAATACCAAAGGATTCTCTGCAGTGAATGGGTGCCGTCAGAATGATAGTCCAAACAGCTGATAAAAACATGACAATAATCCACAAGTAATCCACATGACTCCAGTCCATCAGTTAACATCTTTTGAAGCAAAAAGCTGTTTGTAAAACAAATTTAGACTTTTATAACTTTAACTTTTTAAAGAAACAAACTAATCTACATCTTGGATAGCCTGAGGGTGAGTAAATTTAAAGCAAATTTTCATTTTTTGGTGAACATAAATTCACTCTGCTTGTGTTTCATTGATGAGGCTCAATGTACCTGACATACAAACTGACGCATCAAGAAATGTAATACTCATGTCAGCTGATATTCAATTCTAAAATGAGTTTATAACCAAAACACTTGAAATAAAAATTAAACACTAGAAGTTCACAGCAAAAGCAGAAAGAAAACATATGACAGTGTGTGAAAACCCTGCAGAGGCTTTAATGAATCACGTGAAAGCGCATGAATGAAGAACGGAACCCTCTTCTTACACAGCCAGAGGAGTGATGCGCAGCCAGCTGAGCTGCTATCAGCCAATGAGGATGCAGGAAAGAGAGCAGGTGCATGATGATGTTCGTTCAGTCGGACTTCTTGTCCTGCTGAGAGTCGCATTTGGCCTGCGTTCAGAGACAGAGCAGAAAGAAGTGAAATTTTCAATATTTCCAACTGACAGATTTGCACAATCCTTTGGAGAGTGATTTTGGGTGGCTGACGTCATGTCAGCAAGTCTTAGCAGTGTCCTGCATGCTTTATTTTAGGACTACTCTCAACTATTATCATCATCATCATCATCATCCTGTATAATCATTATGCATGTAGGTAGAACGAGCTTATATCAATGTAGGGACTAAATGGAGTATGAAAATTAAGACTAAAGAAGGTAAAAAATGTGGTTTAAAATGGTGAATTTATATTTATATATATACAGTGGTGTGAAAAAGTGTTGGCCCCCTTCCTGATTTCTTATTTTTTTGCATGTTTGTCACACTTTAATGTTTCAGATCATCAAACAAATTTAAATATTAGTCAAAGATAACACAAGTAAACACAACATGCATTTTTTAAATGAAGGTTTTTATTATTAAGGGAAAACAAAATCCAAAACTACATGGCCCTGTGTGAAGAAGTGTTTGCCCCCCTGTTAAAACTGTGGTTTATCACACCTGAGTTCCATTTCTCTAGCCACACCCAGGCCTGATTACTGCCACACCTGTTCGCAATCAAGAAATCTCTTAAATAGGACCTGCCTGACAAAGCTAGACATCATGCCGAGATCCAAAGAAATTCAGAAACAAATATATATATATATATATATATATATACACTGTATATCTAAAAATGTATGGCTTCGCAGCGCTGTGATGTGCATGAAAGCAGTAAGCACCTTGTTGCTGTGTGCTGAGCGTGTGACATGCAATAACTGCAGCACGTGTTCATGAGTCACGGTCTCTTATGAGCTGCTTATTTTTATGTAAACAAGAGAAGCCTGTCTATCTGACTCCCACCCTCTCGGGCTCACTTACACACACTTGAGAAGACTACCGGTCATAACGTTCATGTTTCCAGAGGAGGACGACTGACAGGTGCACTGACTTCAGAGTAATAAAAGCACAGAAAAAAAAAAGTAAAAAAAATAAATCTCTCTCTGAGTTAAGTGAATAAAGAGAGAGTGAAGGAATCTCTTCTAGTATCATCAGCCACAGAGAGAAGACCATGTGTGTCATTTTACTTGCTTTATAATGTTAAAGTAAAATATATTTGAAAGTAAATACGGGTTTATTATGGTATTGATATAAATGCAAATGAGAAAGAGTAAACTTCTTTGTGTGCATTTAATAAAAACACTTTGAGTTGGGTCTTGGCATCTTGAAGTTAAACTTTACGATACATTGCTTATGATATTTGAAAACTGACGCTCACCATGTAATCTGAGCAACAGGCTGATGATAGCATGTCTAATTTCTAACTTTTCTTAGTATACTGATATCAGACCCTCCAGGAAAGCATCTGTTTCTTTTAAACACGTTTCCTCATAACGTTCACTCAACATGCTACAGATGCCAACTGGGCACATGCCAATGGTGCCAATGTACACTGCCCCTCAGCTCCAAAAGATCTCGGAGATGTGACATTTGCTGAATTTGTTTGCTTTTACCAACACTATGGATCTCACCCTTTAATATACAGTACGTGTGAGATTAAAGCTTTCCTGTAGCTCAAGTAGAGAATAGCATAATTCCACCTAACTGTGATTGTGAATGCATCTTGCACAATAGGACAGACAGTACGGTTTTGAAAACTGGGATTCAGTCTGTGATATTTTTCTGCAGTTCTTTAAACACTGTTATACCTTTAATCCCTGTTAAAACAGATGCCACAGTATCCTTATTGCACACTAGCTGCATTATAACATTTGCTTTCAGCAGCAGCAAAAAAAAAAAAAAACTCCAGCAGATGCAGGCAGATTGACATGAACAGCTGGCATCAGGGCAGATTGGAAACTGAAATGCAGAGCATTCAAACGTGGTTTGAGATGTTAACATTTATTAATTTCTCAGATGTTTTTATCCATTTAAAGTGCTTTTGAGGCATTGATTTGATCAGTCTGTATGTGTGTGTCCTGGGAAGTGAACCCATGCCCTTGCCTCGGAGCGACAGGAATGCTACATGAGCAACAGGAAAATGTTCTTTGATCTGTTATGATTCTTAAAAGATGACACTTCTGAGAAAACTACCTCCGTTTTAAAACATAACGAGCTACCAATCTGGGTACTATTTTAAGGCGTTATAGCCATTAGGTTTTCTAAATGTTAAGGTAATGAATGAAAATTCAGTTCAAGAACATTAATATGGATTTAAAAAAAGAATTTAAAAGCAACATCAATAAAAATAATAATAATTCATTTTTATAATTGAATCATTCATATTAATAACTAATAACATAATAGCAAGGTTTTATTATCAAATCAATATGGTCAGGCAGAGCGCTACAGACAAAACAAAAAAATATTATACTGATATTTTTTAACCTTTCTGATTTTCAATATTGTGAGCTGGTTTAAAACTGTGATTTCTTTTAAGAGTAAACCAAAATAATTTGAACCAAACATGAACTGTTGCCAAAAAAAAATTTAAAAGAACAATGAAACACTTTCTTTCTTATTTCCATGAAGTCATTTGATGAAAGCTCAATGGAATAATAATATAATCAAATTAACCAATTTATAAATAAACATTAATTTAAAAAAAATAATACCTACATCCTTCTACAAATACATTTAAGTTCATGTAAAATGCCATGCTGGAACTTCTATGTACACTTTTGAGGGAAGACGTAAGCAAACCAGTGAAATGGTTCATTGAAAAAAACAGATTTGCAGCAATGAATAAGACTTGGTATTTATGCATACGAGGTTTAGCATAAGAAATAGAATAAATGTTTAACCAGAGACTAGCCACATCTAAACTCGCATACTTTGGATGCTACTGAAATCATTCATCTTTTTTTCAGGTCACTTCAGGTTTCACTTCAGTTAGTATACTGCCTTAGAAGGCAGCAATCTTTGAAGTCAGTGAGGCAGCTCACTATGGACTCGAGCAGAGCTAGAATGGGAAAGATGTCAGCAGTGTGACACACGCATGAGCTCTGACCTGCAGTCTGCCGTGTTCCTCCAGCAGACGGTCGTACTCCGCTGTGAGGTTCTCAGCCTGCTTCTTCATGGCCTTCACATCGCTGTCTGACTTGTGAAGAGCTGCACACACAAGCAAACAATAAGTACTAGAAATACATGAGTCAGTGATCTAAATGACCTTTTCTGTAGGTCTACAAATTCTCCAGATTACAGTAGCATCACAGAGCCAGACCTTTGACTTTCAGTGGAACCTCTGGTCCACTTTGCAGCTTAATCTGCCCAAATTCTGTTCACTGAGACCAGAAGAGACCATGTGATTGACATACTACCAATTAAATATTGGGGAGTTGCTAAGATTGCCATGTCTCTTATTTATTTGATCTACAATACAGTAAAAACAGTAATACTGTGAAATATAATTACAATTTAAAATCACTGCTTTCTATTTCAATGTATTTTAAAATGTAATTTATTCCTCTGCTGTAAAGCTGAATTTTTTGCATCATTACTCCAGTCTTCTGTGTCACACGATGCTTCAGAAATCATTCTAATATGCTGATTTGCTGCTCAAGAAACATTTCTTCTTATTATCAGTGTTGAAAACAGTTGTGCTGCTTAATATTCTTGTGGAAACCTTGATACATTCTTTTTTCAGGATGCTTTGATAAATTGAATAACTACAAAAAAAAAGCATTTATCTGAAATAGAAATTTGTACAAAATGTACAAGTTTTTACTATCACTTCTTATTCAATTTAATGCTTGATTAATAAAAGTATTATTATTTTTTTTTAATCTTACTGAACCCACACTTTTAAAAAGGAAGTGTTAATACACTACTCATTTTATTAAATGGCAGGTTGATCTGAAAACTATTAAAGCTCACTTACGGTTTTGTGCAGTACCCTTAAAATGTGCTTTGGTATAAGATGACCCAACGGAGACTTCAATTTGGGGGTCATCAAAGGGTCATGAACCCTTTAGCACTGTCTAAATACAAGCACATGTGAAAGGAGGCATGGGAATCGATCTTACTAAGCTCATTCTTTTGACTAGTTCTGCTGAGGTCATCTTGTGTTGCTCACTGTAAGGTCTTTTTTATGTACTCTGAACCCATGTCTGACAACATTAAATAATGAAGCAAGGATGCATTAAACTGATCAAAAGTTACAGTAAAGAGTGACATTCATAATGTTACAAATGATTTCTATTTCAGATAAGCACTGTTCTTTTGAACTTTCAATTCATCAAAGAATCCTGAAAAAATTTTTCAGTTTCCACAAAAATACTAAGCAGCATTGATTTCTGAAGGATCATGTGACACTAAAGACTGGAGTAAGGCTGCTGAAAATTCAGCTCTGCATCACACATTTTAAAATCTTAAATATATTCATATAGAAAACATTTTCTAATGTTTTCAGAAATTTGACAATATTACTGCATTTACTGTATTTTTGATCAAATAAATGCAGCCCTGGTGACCCCAAATTTTGAACGGCAAATGTTCCAATAAACGTCTCAATAAATGCTCCTGGTTTTATTGTGTGGCCAAATCATTAACGCATTCTGTTAACGTTATTCCAAAGAAAAAGTGTTAGTTCTAATAAACTTTCATTGAAATGTCATTTTCACCACCTATGAAATGACTTTTCTGTTGACTTTTCTGTTGTTCTGTTAAATCAATAATATCACATAGCATTTCGCATGATCCAATCGAATAATTACATTGAAGGAATGGTTCACCCAAAGATGAAAATTCTGTCATTAATTACTCACCCTCATGTTGTTACAAACCTGCAAGACGTTCGTTCATCTTCAGAACACAAATTAAGATATTTTTGATGAAATCCGAGAGCTTTCTGACCCTCCATAGACAGCAAGGGTACTACCACGTTCAAGGCCCAGAAATGTGACATCAGTGATTCAACCTTAATTTTATGAAGCTATGAGAATACTTTTTCAACAATTCTTCTCTCTCTTATTCTCATAGCTTCGTAAAATTAAGTTTGAACTACTGATGTCACATGGACTATTTTAACGATGTCCTTACTACCTTTCTGGGCTTTGAGCGTGGTAGTTGCGTTGCTGTCTATGGAGGGTCAGAGAGCTCTTGGATTTCATCAAAAATATCTTAATTTGTGTTCCGAAGATGAACGAAGGTCTTACAGGTTTGGAACGACATGAGGGTGAGTAACTAATGACAGAATTTTCATTTTTGGGTGAACTATCCCTTTAATACTAATTATTTTCATAAACAAAATTTGTTCAATAGCCTAATTTTGGGCATTAATGTTCACTAAGAGACTGTGCAACCATAGACAAGCACACAGTAGCTTTGTTTTTTTAAATATGTAAACAGGGAGCGGTTCAGTGTATGAGTGATTCAGAGTCATTTAGTACCTTTCTTTGTTGCGTCGAGTTCATCCTTCAGTTTCCTGACCTCTTCTGTCAGACTTTTCTTATCCTCCTCCACGCCACCCTTGGCCTTCCCACCCACTTCAGGCACTTCAACGCCCGCTTCCCGCAGTTTCTGATGAAAAACAGTAAGTCTTTTTATTAGTCATATCATTGGATAATCAGCTATTTCGCAAAAAGTGTTGCTCTGAATTCCCAGAGGATGTTGAGAGAGGGTGTAAAATATATGATAAAACACTTCAAGTGTCAACATAGACTCATGTTCAATCTGGTTTAATTTTGTTATACATGTTATTGTGAGCGATTTATTCTTGACTCTATCAATTCCCAATAACTAAAATCAAATCCAGCTTTTTCAAATACATCCAGTTCATCAAGTTTCAGAAGTGAAATGGGTGGCAAACAGTTTTTAGCTAAATATAAGGACAGGGATGTAACTTGAAGATGTGAAAACATTTCACCGAAAACCTAAACAACTGTCCTGAAAGGACTCTTTTTACAGTTTCACAGGCCATTCATTAACATATTAAGTTACAGAAAAAAAAACAAGTGCTCTATTTTCCAGGGATGGCAATGATGTTAAAATTAGGTTTATCAATGATCTCCATCTGTGTCACCAGTTAGTGAGTAACCATCAACGGTAGCCATTCACATCTGATTGGCCCACTTCTCATACAAACATAAAACATTCTCCTGAAAGATGATTTTAGCCTGTAGACTCACTAAATACAAGAACACTACAGAATTAATAATGTGATCAACTCAAACAACATATGCAGTTAAATACAAAACCCTTTAACAGCAAAATCGAATCCAGTTACTACTGATAAAATCATTTCAAGATTCAGCTATACAAAAGCTGCTTATCTATATGCTAAGTGATAAACAATGGTTTTAAAAGATTTTCTTATTTGATTAGTTTATTGAGAGTCAATGAGAGTAGTTAATTTTGGACTTTAATACCAGTGTGCTGCAAAGTGATTATAGTTAACTAAAACTAAAATTAAAACTTAAACATTTTCACTACTTGAAATAAAATAAACATTAAATTAAATAAAAGAAAATATATTTAAAAAAATTCAGCTAGCTGACAAGGCACCATTTCTCATTTTAACTTGTACTAAACAGCACTTGTATTCTCAGTTTAGCTTACATATATTAGATATGTAAGACATATATTATATATTGAAGACATATAAACTATAGATGTGTGCATAAACAATTAAAAATTACAATGCACAATAAATGCAAAATAAAAATACTAATGGAAAAACAAAAAATAAAATGGAAAATACAACAAAACTGATTCAAAATAAATTAATAAAAACTATAATAGTTTCTCAATTATGCAATGAAACTGGTGTGCAGCTTAATGCATGCTGAATATTTAATGTAACCTACTATTTTTATTTAAATATATTTAAGTATGCAATTTGCAAATGTGTCACATGTCCTCATCAGGTAGCATGTTTAAAGTAACATCCTCTTATCATCTCATAAAAAGTAAGGGAAAACACTGGGAATCCGTTGAAAAAGGTCATGCATTGTGGGATAAAGCACCACATGTGCACAGCAAGTCCTGAGACCAAGATGTCACCAATATTTGTATTTCCCAGAAGAGAGAGAAGAAAAGTTAAATGTACATATCTGCTCAAATCAAATTTAACTACAGTGCAATTTTGATTTCATGGGGTCATTAATGAACAATAACTGTCTGAAACATCAGTAACAGTCAGCGCTAACTAACAGACTCTTGCTCTGCTTACAAATTAACACATAACAGCATGAGGAACATTGTGGCACGGCTGTCAAGGGTCATGAAAGTTTCTCATACATGAAAGGAGTTCCACAAATTGTTAAAACCTGACTGAGTGAATATTTTAATGCTAAACCGCTCAAGGTATGCAGCCCAAGGCACACAGACATTTTTAAATGAGCCTTTTCAAAGTGACCTGGACAAGGGAACAAACACAGGAGAGTGTTTTACTTCATGTCAAACGAGGGAAAGATGTTTTCTGGCCCGGGGAACAACTAGATCTGGGTCAGATGTTTTGGATGATGTTTCCTGCAGATATATTAAAAGAAAGTTAAAATACAACTGAAGCACCAAGCTGAAAAGACTTCCCTTAAATGGGGCGTAGAGGAGAGTGAAGAAGATGCTTGCTGTGTCAATCCCTTAATCTAGGAAACTGCATCATTTTTGTCATGTACTCATACGTTTAATTTAGAAGCAAGGGTAAATCATATGCAGCTTCCTGTGAATGAAAGATGCAAATTTCTTTGACACGCTGGCACGGCAAAATGCTCCTTCCATAATAGATTATATATAAACTAAATATAAAAATGATAATCATAATAAAAATTTAAATTGAATAAAGATAAACAGAAGGAGCAACATTTCATATTTCTCTGTAAACTTAATAGTTGGAATTGGAAGTAATAAAGTCTTAATTTCTACAGTCTTATAGAATATTTTTGTAAACTTAAGTTTACTTATAAATAAATAAAAATAACTGCATCAATATACATTTGGAATATTAACCCCTTCCCTGGTTAAATCTTTCGGAAAATGAGAATAATGTGCAGTGAAATAAAACTTTGAAATAGCACAGTGAAACACTTTTTTTTTTTTTTTTACTCATTTATTTAATTCAGTATTTTTTTTTATATCTAAAACATAAGCTGCTCAGGTATTCCCAAATGATTAAATTTACCACTTTTTGACCTGTAATATTTCTATAGCTGTATGTTATAGATGCTTTCATCTTATTTTAGTTGATAATAGACCAAAACAGAAAATACTGTGCCTTGCACACCCGAATCATTTATATATGCGTCGGATAAGTCCATTAAAACAATAAAAATGTATAAATCCAGTAATATTACTCAAACTTAAAACATCATCAAGAAATTTTGTTGGCAATGATTAGGTCAACAATATTATTATAATTATTATTTAATATATATTTATTTATTAATAAAGAAATAAACCAATAAATAAATGCACAATGCAGACACATTGTAACATTCACAATGCAAACCTCCCTCACGAGTTCATCCAGATCATTTACGGGAATTAATCAGCAAAAACACTGTGCAAAACTGCCACATTTATGACGTCACAACCACATGACTGCCTACATTTCGATATGTGGAGGTTCGCCAGTCACAGCAAAGGTCATTTATCTATACAGTAAAGCCTTAACAGTACAAGTAGCAAAAACAGCCTGCTAAATTCCCACAGAAAGAGTGAAAAATGGTCAAAATGAACTAAAATAAAACCTTGATTAACATTATAAGTGGACTTGCTAAAAAGTAAAATGCTCAAAGAATGGAAAACGAAACGGCCAGTTCCAACCATCAAACCCTCACGAATCTACCGATGGATCCATCTTGGCTAATTGCATTATGAATTATTAAAAAACTATTTCACATAACTAATAGCTGCAATATAACTACATTTTATGAAGCAGAACCTTGCAAAATTCATGACCTTGTTCACACTTGATTAAATGTGAGAACCCTATAACACCTGCTTGGGGACCAATGATAGAGAACGGTCTGCCCCTGAACAGAGATGAGAGATCGATACAGGCCCTTTAGGGGGTCATGTGCTGTTCTCACCTCGTCCCCTCACAGAACGACCCTGTTAGCATCTACACATGGATTATGCGCTCACATCCATAAATAATAACCACAGCGAAATAATCACAAAGGCCTGGTCAGGTCATCTCGCCCTGTTCAGGGACACACGTCCTGTACAGACGCTTCAAGAACAGAGTGGCAAAACACTCTGTGTGCGGGAGATTTACAGGCCTCATTCTGCCAGAGTCAAACTTCATTTACTAAATTGAAATATTGCACCATCTGTCATTCAGTGCGGCTTGTGCTCTTGTTTATGGCTCACGGTGCGTGTGTGATAACCCACGTGTGCCGTGCTTCTGCATGGGGTGACAGCATGCAAAGATCAATGCGGTGACTTACTGCACGTCAGCACTGTAATTGAGCCACGCGGTGCTGATCTATCCCAGCATTCTCCACGCTCGGGCATCCACATACTAATAAACTACATGTGCTAAAGACAATAACACAGCATGTGATAGCCGTTTTCAGGGCTTTTAATAACAAACTAGACGTGCAAGGAAATAATGGTGTTTGCAAATGTCATACCATGTGCGAGACATTTCGCCACTGTCATAATAGTCGGTGCAATTTTTTTTCTTGACTGCAAGAATCAATAGGCATAGACGTAGTGAAGTGTAAAAGCGGCTAAATATATATGCAAGAAACACCAGATCAATGACAATTCAGTATGTAAATAAATGTAAGACAGAAGATCAATTGCAATTCGATATGCAAATATTAAGATATTAAAAACAGAATATCTTAATATTAATTAAGTATTAATATATTAATAAATACTACAAAAAATGTTAACTTAAAAAAACAACATTTAGAAATGGTGCCTTGGCAACTAACTGAAATACATTTTAAGTTGAAGTACCAAAATTAAAACAATAATTAAAGATTTAAAAAATAATAAAAAACTAATAAAAATGACAAAAAGCACATAAAATTATTATATCTTATACTAAAATTAAAAAGAAAAATAGAATTAAAAGCTGATGCAAAATATTAATAAATACTAAAATAGTATATAAATAATACTACTAATAATAATCTGCATTAAACATGAAAATGCCACTAGATAACAATAACGTAAATTGTGCTGAGAATAATGCTAGTTAAATTATACTAGTTAGCACATTACTTTGGAAGTCCTAAAACTAAATCAACTGATTTAAATAAAATAAAATAAAATAAATATTATATAGAAAACTAAGCTGAAAAAAATGGAAATTAAACAGATATAAAAAAATTAAAAAATTAAAAAATCCAAACACGCCAGCCACTGTGGGAAATTTTCAAACTTAAATATATTTACAAGTGTAATGCTTACAAACTAATAACAGAACACGCAAGACTAAATTTATCCATCAAACAAAGATGAAATTAGTCTGTTTGTTAACCATTTCAGTCTGAATTACCAGCAGAAGCTAAATACTCAGGGTCAGAGGTTTAGAACAAACCAGAATGCGTGAGAAATATCCATACAGTGCTGTAATAATAACTAATCATTGGCAAACAGCCATGAGCGAGTTTGATGATGTCAAGGCATCAATATGCATTCTACACTCAGGGCACAAACTAGCACTCAGTACTTTCTCCTTTCACTGCATCTAAAAAAAAAAAAAGTGTCAACATGGAACTGCTCTACTGAACTATAGTTCCGCTCTACATCGTTTACACTGTATAATTAACATCTGTTAAATAACTGACAAAGCGGTTAGCAATTTCCTTGAATTTCACTAGAAATCCACTGGACGCAAATGTGTTTGTGTCTCAAGAGCACAATGATGAAAGCTTATCACTACCTATAAAGTTTCAGTTATCAACCACTAAACCATACCTCAATATTTGAGTTACTTGTCCTACTTAAAGATGCAATCAACAATGCCTTCTTGATATGCAATACTATAACTAGAACAGTCAAAATATTTTATTCATATTCACTAGTTCCTCAATATATTCCTATGAAATTTTATAAAAATTTATATTAATTTATTAATTGTAAAATATTTTTATGAAAACTATTCTCATCATAAATATGTACACTACTGTTCAAATGTTTGGGGTCAGTATATTTTTTTAATCATTTGAATAGTTTTATTCATCATGGACACACTAAATTTTAACATTCATAATAAAAAAAAATGTTTCTTGAGTATGAAAAGTAATTATTTTAAATTGTAATAATATTTCCGAATATAACTGTTTTTACTGTATTTTTTTATATATATAAATGCAGCCTTGGTGAGCATAAGAGACTTCTTTGAAAAAATAAATAAATGAATAAAAAATAAATAAATAAACAAAATCTTACCAACCCCAAACAAAAAAGCTTAATTAAATAGTAATATGCATTTCATTTTTGGTCATAAGTCCCAAAGGTTTTGGCATTTTCTAGCCATTTATATCTCTTACCACCAAAAAAAAAAAAAAAAAAAACAAGTAATTCTACAAGCATTTGAAACTAGGCGAGTATCAAGTGCTACTTTTGTTCACTTTCACATCTTGTGTAAACTCAAGGCCTATTTCTAGACATAATGTGAAATTCTGCCCTCTATAGGTGAAATGCAAAGTCTGCAGCACTGGGATATTGATGTACAATGTTTCTCTGAGGACTGACAAATGGAGAACGCCTAACAAACCAGAATGACTCATGAGAACATGTGATGTTAAACCATTGCTAATGAAGTGCATGTGGGATCACAACTAAATCACAAACATGTTAGCAATCATTCAAGAATAAATCATCTCAAAATTACAATTCTGTCATCATTTATTTTAGTCATTCTCATGTCTTTCCAACACCATCATTTATTTATTTGAAATAGGTCACTAGAGCAGCTTACCGACTTCTTCTTTTGTGTTAGTCACAGACATTTACAATCACATGAGGGTGAGCAATGACAGAATATTCATTTTTGGGTGAACAGTTTCTTAATACAGCATACTCATCATAGTCACCTGTGCAACTGTCCCACCCACATGTCCTGTAGTTACACCAATGGTCATTAACCTGGTACCAGGTAAAGGTTTCTGCTCCTTTTAAGCCTTTAGGGTCATGAAAAACCGGCATTTTCATGCACAACTCACTCACCTCCTGCAGTTTCTCATTTTCCTCCATGTACTTTTTCGCAGCATCATTTGCTCCCTCCGCCTGCTTTTTAAAGGCTTCATTAGAGGCCATCAGTGTTGCCTGCTGAGACAGCAGTGTGGCCAGACGTCTCAACAGCCTGGAGGGGAAAAAAACAACATGAACTCATCAGACACGAGTGGATTTACTAAACAGTCAGTGTGTAGCTGATCGTTACGGCTCACCGCAGCAGCAGCCTACGTTGCGATTCTGCATTATACAGAAACAGATGTTGGCATAATTATTGGTGCTTGAAAAGGCAACGATCTCTATAACTATTATTTGAACAAACCCCTAAATCTAAACACTGAACTTCATGGCGTAACTCATCCCACACATTTGTGCTCCAGACATCAACTACTTTATGATGGATGGTATTAAACAAACAAAAGCATTCAATATTAAACATAATTTATATATAATTATTTATATCTACACCTGTCATCCGTTTGAAACCTGACACACTCTAAGGAAGGCTGAAGGCCGAAATGCATCAGTGTGCAGAGTTTTAGGCGTTTTTAATGTTTATTGAGATGGCCAGAATGTGAATAATGGCTTTTTAACTTTTTTGGACCAGAAGAAGTGTCTTGGATTCTTCTTTTTTTAACAGATTCTATAACACTTATTTGAACCATTCTACACTAAAACTTTACGTAAAATGTATCATGATGAATTTATTGTGAAATTAAAATATTGGTTTTCTATTTTAATATACTTTAAAATATTTATTTCTGTGATGCAAAGCCGTATTTTCTTCAGTCATTATTACTCCAGTGTTCAGTGTCACATGATCCTTCAGAAATCATTCTAATGTACTGATTTTATTATCAATGTTGTAAACAGTTGTGCTGCTTAATATTTTTTGGAACCTGTGATACTTTTTTTTATGATTGTTTGATGAGTAAAAAGTAAAAAAAAGAACAGCATTTATTCAAAATAGAAATCTTTTCTAACAATTTAAGTCTTTACTGACACTTTTTTTATCAATTTAACACATCCTTGCTGAATAAAAGAATTAATTTCTTTCAAAAAAAAAAGAAAAGAAAAAATTATTACTGACCCTAACATTTGAACGGTAGTGTATATTTTTACAACAACAAAAAGAAAAAACTATTTTAAATACATGCTGTTCTTTTTAACTTTTTATTCATTAAAGAATCCAGAAAAAAAGTATATAAAGTATATAAAAGTATACAAGTAAATAAAAGTATATAGAATCATGAAACTCAGAGTATGAGCACTTTGGCACACATATCTTCATTTGAATAACATATGTTCATTTTTACATGCAAATCTAAAAGGGAGAAGTCAAATCTGAGCATACATGCCTATTTTTCTAAGTGGACTACAGAAATAACATCTCTCTAAATAGTTCTATCCAAAATCTGAGATTGGGTTATGTAGCATCGCTCCAGAAACATGCGTGACACTTCTAGGAAACACCAATGTGCATTAATCGCCATCGGAAGACAGCACGACAAAAATCAGCATAAACAAATTAGTATCTACTGCTCGACCATAAGCAAATACATCACATGGTTTTCACCAGCGTAAAGACAGTGTATAGCTTTTAGCTCTTTTCCTCACTCTACACAGTCAGTCTTCTACAGTTTCATAGAGCCAGATGAGCTGAGAGATGCAGGCTGATGACATCTGAACCGTGAGCTCGAATGCAGAGGCTAAAGGCAGCGTGCATCCCCTTCATGTCAGTGTCCACATGTGTAAAAGGGTTCAAGGTTTCGTAAAAAGTTGTTGTGACCAAAATGCAGATGGGTTGAACCATGGACAACCGCAACTTGCATAAATGCAAGAGAAGCCCACACTTTGGTCAAACGCTCTGTATGACGTAAAAAGGTAATATGAGGCGACCTACAGTAGATTCACTTTAACCTCTCCTGATTTTTAAATTGGCCAAATATAAGAAAACAAGTAATTTTTAGTTGGCGCAAGTGTTTATACAGTACAGACATGTTAAAACAATAATTTAAAAAATAGAATATTTTCACTGCAATAAAGTCCTGTTCAAAAATAATTTCCATTAGAATCATAATAAATTAAAGGCAGTACAACAAATACTGCATATACAAATCATGTATAAATACCGTACTTTTTTTTTATCTATATTTTAAATAAAGAAACATTTTTTATTGCCATGAAAATAATGCTACAAAACTTACTGGTCCTAAAAATAGGCTTCATTTTCTCTCTAATATTTTTTTGGTGGTGAAATATGACCCTTCTTGATATACTCTATGAGATTAAAAAATATTAGATTATTTTGCAATAAAAAAAGTGTGTCTTGAATACTTGATCATATTTAAGGTTAGATTATTAAACATTTTCAGATAATGATGACTGGTTATATGTACATAATATCAGAATCAATAAAGCCAGAGAAGAAAAATTTAAAAAATAAATAAAATAAATAAAATTATAATATCAGATACATGTGTATAAAATGTCGAAAGGAAAAGAGAAAAAAAAGTTCCAAACATCCATAAAAGATTAATTTACTTCAGAAGACGTCAGAAAATATATCTTTAATTTAATGTATTTCTTACCCCACTAACAATTTTTGTCCTATTTTAAGCATAAATCTAACTAAGTTTTGTCAGGTGTCAATGGACTAAGACAAATAGACTGCATTTAGTGTATATTGTCTAAAAACAAGTTATTTTTCAATGTTTCCCATTATCTTGCATTAATCGCTTAGCCATTTCCAATGTACACTGGAAATGTCCACACAGCTACTGCAGCCAAACATGCCTGAAGCACATGTCAAACCGTCATGCGCCACTTTAGTCACCTTTGTGGCATCTGCGTGTTTGCTGGCAAGGTGGAGGAGGGCCATTTTGTGACAGGAGTCGTGGCCTTTCTGCCAGTGAGAATGCCATGAACACAGGCTAAATATAATGCCCGTCACCAGTTGCTTGATCACATGTCCTGCAGCTGTCCGTGTGATTACGAAAACGACACTCAAGCCCGGCAGGCAAGGGAAGTAGTATCGCTAATGGATGTAGTAGTCATCCGGCAGGATATAAATAACCTGCCATTCAGAGAAAATATGGTGAAACCCCTGTAAGGAAAAACTATGCAGAGCTGGGAGACTCTCAAATGTTAAGAATAGAGCGCAACAACGAACCAGCCAATCGGGATGCAGGAAGTTAAGTACCCGTGGATGAGGTTTGTGAATAGAAACAGTGTGGGGGACCCCAACCAGCTCAACATAAGATTCTTTCCATGTCTACTGTAATATAGCGGCATATTCTGCTCTTTGTCTGCCCCACACCTGTACACAATTCATTCACCTTTTGTGACTATAAATAAAGACAAAGTCTCCAATAGGGTGGGGATGCAACATAAATCTGTGCTGGAGAAATTAGGAAGCTAATTGGCATGACAGGCAAGTAATTTATGCAAACAGAACATTAATGAATTTTCACTTTCAGTGTGGATAAATAACTAAAGTAGGCCCAGGGTTAAGGAGAGGACCTATAATGATAATGAAAATGGATGCATTTAAATGCACAAAATATTTAATTAAATTAAAATTAAATGCACAAAGTATTTAATTAAAATAGAAGGGTCTAACTATTGCATCACCCTGGTTCCCTCAACAAAAACCTAAATGGATTTTTCTCTTCAGTCTTTATTAAAAATCTACAAGCAGTAAAGTAAGTATAGTTTGCAAGACTGAATTATAAATACAATGAGGCTGTGAAAGATGATGGTTCTGAAAATATATTAGAATATATTGATGGTTGTTGGTTAACCACAGAATTAAAAGCAAAAAATAAATAAATCATTGACTTTGTGATAATGGAATTTAAAGTTTCTGGGTTTTCGGACTGGGTCACATTTCAAAATAAAGTCTCTTATGGCTTCTATATAACATTTTTACTGAGTAAAGTGTAGATTATTTATTGTCATATGACAGATGTGCCAAACATTTTAGCCATTTCACCTTTTGAAGTTCCCCTTATCATTCTTATCACAACGAACAGTACACTCTGTAAAATCATCTCATATCAATAACTTTGATAATATTTTAACTAAACATCACTGATAAAATTTCTCACAGAATATCTTTTATTGTGACACAAATAACCTATCTGTCCTGAATATCCTTGAGTGGGCGGGCGGTCTGATTTGATTGACAGATGATTTCTGCAGCACTGGGCTGTAACAGGCTACAGTGACAGTTGAGAAGTGTTATGGAAGTTGAGGACAAAACCTAGTAAAAACAACCTGTAGCAAAAAAAACCCTGTAGGGTACTATTTTACACTCACGCTTAATGCGAGTACAAAAAAAGTCTGAGTAAATATGTTATTTGCCAGTTGGCTGGTAATACCGGGGGTACCGCAATATAACACATACAATGAAACAACTTGTGCATCTGCACTCCTCAGGGACAGAACATGGTGAACCCAATGACCCTGTTTGGAGAGTACGGTTGAAGTTCTGTTTACAAGCATGGTCCAGAAATCTGCTGGGAGCCGTCAACTAAAATGAAATCAGGCCGTGCCATGTAACTGATCGTGTTCAGAAACTGGTGCCAAAGCTCCAGTGCCAACGAGAGACATGTTGAGGTGGGCAAAATACAGAAACGAGAGAGACCTGCGGGAGCGAGTACCATAGAAAATGAGAGCGACATGGGGAAAAACACTCACAAACACAGGAGCAGAGCGAAGCCGGCGATGTATTCGTTCCTCTGGGCTCTGAAGAGCTTCATGTGGATGTGCTCAATGGCCACGGGGTTGTTGCTCAGATCCACTTTCTCTGTCACACTGTATTTTCTCACTTCTCTAAATGCATCTGTAGTGGCAGAAACAAAAACTTTCATTTTGATTTTTCATTCATAAATCTAGTTCAAGGCAAAACTCATAGCGAGAAATTGCTTGGCTGTCAAAATGAACGTATTAACAGATAAATATGTTTTTACTTTAATTATTGCATATAGTCATTCATATTCTGAATTTTCTGACCCCGAATTTTTGAAAGGTAAGTGTATGTTAATGATCTTTCATGACTAACTTTTTCATATACAAAATGAGTAACCCTGCCAAGCTGCTGAGTACGTAAGCATTGATATGTAAATATAGGCAGTCATATGCTCATGAGCTCATTATGACATCAATCATAATGACAGCAATCATTTCTGAATGACCTGCTTTTGCAACTTTTAATAATGATACATCCTCTTTAACATCATATTATAGATTTATATATAGATTTATACAGAAACTTTGAACAAGACTGGTTAATGAGAACAATGCAGTGAGGTGTTTTCAAGCTCACCTACGAGCAGAAAGACAAGAATACAAATGATGACAATGAAGGCGGTGTTTCCATACGTTGTGATGACAGTGACCAGTCTAGACTTGAAAAATTTGCTCCATCTACAAAGGCAACAACAGAGATAACACCTTAATAAACAGAGGGCAAAAGAGCACATACGATAACACTAATCTTTCTCAACAAGTCCAAAGAACATCGTTAAAATTTACATTTCTCCTACACACCAGAAAAGGAGCACATACAGATGCCTTTGAGAAGCATTTCTTGTGTTTTTTTTCTTGATGAGTCTGTGCAAACACACCAATTCTCAGAGTGTATCTGTGAGATTCTATGAAAATGTTGTTTACCAAGTGTCCCAACCTTTAAATTGATTGGAAGGTCATGTGAATGCTCTCGAATTAAGAAATGACTCCCTCACAAGATTCTTTTCATGGAATAAAAGCACTGAACAGAATTTAATTATCCTGGTAGTGCTGGAATTAAAACATCCAACTCAGCTCAACTCTACCAAATACTCAGAATGATTCGTGTTTTAAGGTTGTAACACAGCAACAATATTTCGCCACAAATGGACAGATTTCAGTACTGGTAACACTCTGGGATCTTTCCTGGAAAGAGGCTAAGTTGAAGAAAACTGGTGCAATAGAATAAAATGGAACAGAAGTGAAATAAAAGTTTCCAGAACCTGATGACTATCAGAGATTATTAAGAGGAACCACACTTAAAGGAACCAATCTACCAAAAATTTAAATTTGTTGTAAATTTACATCCAAAATGTTGACGAGTTTGTTCCTTAATTAGAACAGATTTGGAGAAATTTAGTAAATTATCAAACAGCTGATATTACATCACAAGACGCTAATTGATGGACTGGAGTGGTGTGGATTACTTGTGGATTATTGTGATGTTTTTATCAGCTGTTTGGACTCTCGTTCTGACGGCACCCATTCACTGCAGAGGATCCATTGGTGAGCAAGTGATGTAATGCTACATTTCTCCAAATCTGTTCTGATGAAGAAACAAACTCATCTACATGCTGGATGACCTGAGGTTGAGTTAATTTTCAGCAAAATTTCATTTTTGGGTGAATTGTGTTTCAACAACTTCGGAAACTCACCGTTTTGGGGAGATGAAAGGGACACAGAGCAGCAGTACCGCAAACACCTCGGCGTACAGAAATGTAGCCACGGCCGTCCATTGAAGACTCATGACAGCTACCTGCAAGTCTATGAAAACATATCAGCAATAATCAGCCTAACAGATTACATGCGCATCACTAACCAGACCCTGAAAACATAAATTAGCATTAAATATGATATGCACAAGGTTTGGGAAAATATAAGTCTGAACAAAAGCCAAGGGGCAAAACACACCCATTCCTTTTATTTATTACCATGTATGAAATCAAATGCAGACACTCAAGTCCTCTGGTGATGCTCATTAAAATCATAACTGATACAACAGCACCATTTTATGTTTACTACAGTATAGCCCCAGCTATTCATCCACAAGATTAAATCATTTCTGAGGCCTTTACAGATTATGAGACACGATCAATAACCAATTCATGTCAAATACTATAGTTTTGTAGTACATCATCCCAACTCACAAAGAGCAAGTTCGCTCATTAAAGAGAAGAAAATTTGCAAGTGCAGGTGTATTCATCAAATAAGTCATAGTAGATAAAAAAATTAAAGGCAGGAAATCATTATTTTATACCTAAATGTTTGATAATAAGGGAAGGAATAAATATTTGTTGATAGAACTCATCAAATATATTACATATGAATGAATGAATTACAAATGTACTGCGTCAACTACATCTGCTTAGACTGGCTGCAAACAAGCGGAAAATAAGACTTTAAACTACTAGACGGTAATAGACATACATGTCTGTAAATATACGTAAGTATAATGGGAATACATATGTAAACAAACACATAGACATAACGTTAAACATGTCTCTGTCAGAGCAGTACAATACATGTGTAAATACGCTGTTATTTAAGGTTCTCATACAATTACCCGCATTCATAAGAGCTCTACTTATGACTGAAGTGTAGATAATTAAATAATTGTATTAGAACTTACCGAATTTGAAGTAAAAGCAGAAATAGTCACAGAAAGGCTTGCAGATACGTGTCACAACTTCTGCTGCACTCTGATTACGCGTCACATTAATCTACTTCCGGTATGTGTGCCAACTCATTCTACACATGACAACTTCCCGCGTCGAGGCCAGGAAATGCTTGCGTAAAAGTCTCCTTTCAATAAAATAGAATGAAATAAAATATATATTAACAATTAAAGTAAAATAATCCTTCACTTAAATAATTACAAACAATTAATGTAAAACATCCTGTAATTTTCCATAAAGTTTTCTATTGAGAATAATATGTGGGAATATCTGGTAATAGCCTATGTGGAAAATTGGACACCAGAGATTTTGGGGTTAAAACCCCCAAAATCGATTATAGATGATTATTGTGATGACATATTTGTGTAATAACATCAACTAGGCAAATCACATTCAAAATAATGTTTATTCCATACATAAATACAACCATACTTATTATTCATGACCTGAAATGATTAAACATTTAGTTTAGTTTTAGATCTGCTCCCTTGAATAGTGACCTGATAAGGCAATTATATGTTCAAAAGCCCACTGCTTTTCACATTTCACTGCTGCTCAGCAATTAAAAATATAAGTATATTCAAACCAAACTCATCCAAAAAGAGCACAGTGACTATACACAAAGTGTTTAGGTCAGAAATGCAGTTGTTGTAATCTAAAGAGGTGGACTCTTTTTATTGACAAATATAACATAAAAAATGGAGTTTAAATCTGAAAGTGCACTCTGGAGAAAATAAAGTTTGCTTGATCTTTAAAAGTGTATGTGATACTCTGTCACACATAAGACAGTTGAAATGCATAAGGCACTACAAAAAGCACTAGTAAAGCATTAATGAATACACAAAAATAAACAATACTATTCTATACAATTATTTCATAATAAGGCAGCACCTTTTGAATTCCAAGTATGATGAGGATTTTCATTCATTTTTCCAGTTCCAGCATACAAAACACAAAATCTGTGTACATTAGTATTATACCGTCAGTCAATCACTACATCAAATATATAACAATAGTGAGGTATCATCAGCATAAATATGAGCTTCCATAAAGTAAGTCAGCACAGTTTAGTTTAGAAGTACCATCATTCATAACAGAGTATTGTGAGCATAAGGCACTTGAAATATAACTTTCATCTTTTCCTTTGGAAACAGGGCAGGAGTGTAGGACCTGTAGGCACAATGTGTTCTCATCATCTTTTCTCATTTATCATGTTTCTTCAGTTTCCTTTCTTCTTTCCTGGAGCCTTGGGACTAAAAGTGACAGAAGAGAGAAAGAAACGACACATTTATTGTGCGTTGTAAAAGAAAAACAAAGCAAGAATATGCTATTTAGTGTTATATATTTCTCTACATATGTGGACTACACTGTAAAAAAAATTCCGTAAAATTTACGGTAAAAAACCGGCAGCTGTGGTTGCCGGAATTTTACCGTACAAAAAAACGGTAGCAAAGTTTTAGTTTTTACGGTTTTAACTTAAATTTACAGTTAAATACCGTAATTTCATTAACTGATAAAATGTTAATATATACCAACCTATTGAAGTACTAAAATCTGTTTTGTACCTTTGTAAATATTACCGTTAAATTCACGGTCATTTTTTACAGTGTAGTTCACATTATGTGTATCTGTCTGTCACTATGCTTGTTTTTACACACACAAGTCAATGCATTCTTGAATATTATACACAGAGGTAAATATGTTGTAAAACATACCCAGCAATTTCACATTGCTCATTGGGAAATGTTTAATTGAGTTTTGCTTGCATTTTATATTCCCATTACACAGTACATGAATGAAAGTATGTGCAACTTTGTAATTCACAGATTTAGCTATTTCAACTAAACCCATCATTAACAAGTGCAAAAAAAACTCAATGGGTGCCGTCAGAGTCTAAACAGCTGATAAAAACATCACAATAATCCACAAGTTTTTGTACAAACATGCAGCTTTTCACTTCACAAGACGATAATTGATGGACTGGTGTAGTGTGGATTATAGTGATGTTTTTATCAGCTGTTTGGACTCTCATTTTGACGGCACCCATTCACTGTACAGGATCCATTGGTGAGCAGATGATGTAATGCTACATTTCTCCAAATCTGTTCTAATGAAGAAATAAACTCATCTACATCTTGTATGACCTGATGGTGAGTACATTTTCAGCAAATGTTCATTTTTGGGTTCCTTTAAAATAAGCATTCATTTAATAGTGTTCTTTTCTGCATGACAGTGTCCCTTATGTATGGTCCACGAAGATGATATTTGCTCCATCTTTAGTTGAAGGCCTTCCCAGAAAGGCGGAGGCTTTTAGGAATTACAATGTTCGTGGAATTAAAAGTTGAACAAGCATGTGGTGTGGTTTCCTCATACTTTTAGCCATGCAGTTTATTTATATAAGAGTTCAGTTAGTGGTTAGTATCCTCATGCAGCAAAATCACCTCTGATAACCTGTTCTAGTTGCATTTTTGATGTCAGCATGTGCCCTGAAAACCAGCTTTTCATGTTTGAAAGCTGATTTTATAGTGTTTTCCAGGTAGTTTGACGTATAAAATGTTTAGTCAGCAAATCATGATTGATACATTCATGATTAACAAACTCTCATTATTTATATTAAGATTAATTATTAAAATGTATGAATCATTGTTTTGCTTGTGCATCACTGCATTTAATGTATGCTGATGTAAATCAAAAATATATTATTACCGTGTGTAAATTATTATATTACAGAAATAAAATCACTAACAACACACAAAAAATTAACTAAAAAACCCCAGTGAAAAATCCAGATATATTACATTCTCACAGCAATTTAAATATAGGAGAAATATTGCCTTAATTGTCCTAAAAATTGCCTTCATATTCTTTATACAAAACCTGCGTTCCTTTTTCCTATTCATTTTTTAAATGAATTAATTGCTTTGATTTTGGTGTGAAATGTGTCGTGTTTTTATCTACACTGGGGTTATACACACACGCACACACAAGAAAGATTCACTTCTGAGGCTCATATAAGAAACAGAAACTCTATTCTCTATTTGATGTTTATTGTCAGCCTCAAGAAAGAGGCCACTATAAGAAATAAGCCACCAGGGGCTGTACTTCAACTCTTCACAGGCTATTTACAATATAGACCACAGTGCCAGAGACAGGGCTTAACAGAGGCCGTCCTCGATTTATTAGCTGTGATGACGAAATCTGCGCAGTCTTTCTGCAATCAGGAGGTGTTAACAGTTGTCACAGAATACAAAAATTAAACAGAAATCTCAACTGGACATGTGCAATGTTTTGTATTTTTGTACATGCGATCAATTTCAGCTCAAGTATTTAGAATCAGATCTATTGACCGATGAGCCAAAAGAAAACAAAGACAGTTTTCAGTTCACATTGTACTTGTTTCATAATGATTCACTGAAAAAACTCATCTTTTGTAACCCTAATATTTATGATGATATATCTTTAAGGGCCATGTTCTGACATACCATCACCATCATAATAATCTCTCATGAACAAATATGAAAGATTTACATGATGGTCAGCATCAAGTGTCAGAAAATGGCTTGTGGTAAATTCTCTCTCGCGCGCACACAGACACACACACACACACACACATAACTCTAGATAACATATATATAACCAAACAAACACAATCACTTTAGCTGCCTGAGGCCACTCTCGGCTCATTAGATTCTGAAAAAGTCTCTGAAAACAACTCAATGATGGAGTTTAAGATCTAGACTTTCAGCTTGAGAGCTGCTGCAGGGAACTATTTGAACATTACAATTTGTGAATTAAAGTCAACATGAAATGTTATTTACAACTCTTTTTAGCTTTTTAACATATTAAATGATAACAAATATACCCTAGGTACCAATTTAATTGTGTAAAGTGAACATTACATACACTGGCGATCAAATGTTTGGAATAATTATGATTTTTAAATAGGTTTTTAAAAGTTGCCTCTTAATTTAAAATACTGCTTTCTATTTGAATATGATTTACAATGAAATGTATTGTTGTGATGGCGAAGCTGAATTTTCAATCATTATTGGTGCTCAATTATTATAGTTCTTATTATCAATGGTTCTTATTAAAACAGTTTTTGCTGCTTAATATTTTTGTGGAAACTGTCATACATTTTTTTTATATCAAGATTATTTGATAAAGATCATTAAACAGCATTTATTTGAAATAGATTTATTTTATTTGTAAAATTATAAATGCCTTCATTAACTGTCACTTTTGACAAATTGAATGCATCCTTGCAATAATAAATTAAATTGTTAATTTTTTTCTTTCTTTCATTTTTTTTTGATCATACTTGCCCCAAAATTTTGAGTGGTTGTGTATCACGGTTTTCATACAAATATTAAGGAGCACAACTGTTTTCAATATTGATAAGAAGAAATGTTTTTTGATAATGAATGTGACACTGAAGGCTGGAGTAATGATGCTGAAAATTCAGCTTTGCATCACAGGCATAAATGACATTTTAAAATATATTCAGATAGAAGAAAGCTATTTTAAACTGTAATAATATTGTACAATATTACTGCACTATTTACTGCATTTTAATCAAATAAATGCAGCCTTTTAAAAATATCCTAACTATTCCAAACTTTTGGCCACAAGTGTAAATGGGAAGGATTTTATATTTATTATTTGCCGTTATAGTCATAATATTAGTACATTAACAGCCATGAAATTTCTGTATTCCCTATTTTAATATACTTTTGAGGATGCACTGTAAAAAATGATTGTGATTTTAACAGTAAAAGACTGTAAAAATGCTACAGTAAAAACCTGTTAATTGGTTAACAGTAAGTTTCCATATTATATACGGTGAATAAATTTAATTACATTTAATGTAATTTTACAGTCAAATACTGTTAAAAAAATGGTTTTTGGAAGTGAAAAATAAAAAGTCATTGCATAATTTACAGTGAAAAACCGTAAATTGACACTCCCAGAATTCCCTGCATGACACTTCATATTTGATGTTTTTTTGTTGAAATAACTCTTAGTTTTTTTCTTATCAGTTGTGTACATTAGGGTTTAATCTTACATCTAAT